TGTAAATGACAGGTTATGTTAAATGTCGGGACAGATACCTCTGCAATGACCATAGAATGGGCTTTGTCGGCTTTGCTCAACCACCAGGAAAAGCTGGAAAGGGCTAAAGCTGAGATTGACAGTCTTGTGGGCTTTGTCTGGTCGTGGAATCAGATTTGTCCAAACTTCATTACTTACAAGCAATTATTTCTGAGACTTTTAGATTGTTCCCGGCAGCTCCATTACTCGTGCCACATGAAGCATTAGATAACTGTAAAATTGGGGGTTATGATATACCCCGTGGCACAATCTTGCTCATCAATGCTTGGACCCTTCACAGGGATCCCACGGTTTGGGATGAGCCCACAAGCTTCAAGCCAGAGCGATTTGAAATTGGGGAAGTCGGACGACCAAAATTGATGACATTTGGAATGGGAAGGAGGTCATGTCCTGGTGCTGGCCTAGCCCAACGGGTGGTGGGTTTGACCTTAGGATCTTTAATACAGTGTTTCGAATGGCAAAGGATTAATGAAAAGAAGGTTGATTTAAAAGAGGGAGTAGGGATCTCTACGCCCAAAGCTGTGCCACTGGAGGCAAGGTGTAAAGCCCGCAATGTTCTTCACCAGGTTCTCTCGGACGTAGCTTGAATTGTTTTTGGGAATTTATAACCAGTGTTATATATCCTAGTACTTATAGTTTTATAATAAATGTCAATTAGCCGTTAAATGTCATAAATTTTTACCATCTCGTGTTTGCATTCTGTATCTTGGAAAGTATTCGAGCAAAAGAGATCAAGAAACTTGCATCAAAATCCATATTAGATATCAAATGCGCATCCGCTATTAAAGCCTCTGCCTTCTTTTGGTTGTAATTAATTGCGGCCTTCATAAGTGAGGATCGCCACCACATGAGCGGTTCAGCCTGGCCCTAACGGCTGTTGTAGATAGGAAAAAAAAAGAGAGAAAAAAGAAGAAAATTAATTGAAGTTGATTCCCACCACCCCAAACCTACTTTCGCTAATGTTTATAACATCTAACTCGCTTTTTCTTGTCCCCCATAGTTCAATGATCTATCAATATTATTCATTTATCCACCAATCATTTCTATTTAATTATAATTTAAACCTCCTTCTATAATAATGAAGAGAAAGTTAAAAAAATAACTACAACAGACAAAGAACATTCTGAACATTGAAAAATAACTAAAACATTTGGATTTAACTTGTGAAAAAAGTAAAAGTTTTAGTATTGAAATTGAAATTGCAATGGAAATTATTTCTTTTTAATTTAGACATTTTTTACTATTTTTTAACGGAAAATCTGACGAATGTTGACGGTAGAGGGTTTTTTATACAAAAAGTTTCAAATATGAGGGTTTTCTGTAATTTTCAATAGATAGAGGGTAAATTAGATATTTAAACGTTTTTGGGGGAGTTTTCCGCCATTAAATTTTTTTTTTTAAAGAAAAACAAAAAAATCCTCAATTATTCTCATTTTGGAATCAAAAATTAAACAAAAAGAAGCAAGCAACTACAAGTCAGCGTCAAGTCAACTTCGCCCCACACCCATGTTCTTACTTGCACTGTCTTATTATCATTCAATAATTCATTTATTCATCCCTGCACACCAATTATATCATATCAGTGAACAATAATTCTCCATCAGTGAGATTAACTATGGAAAAATTTCTGTTCCACAAGATTTCTTTCTATCTTTTTTTTCTGTTTCTCTTTCACTTTTCTTCTATTTTCTCTTTGGCCTCGGATTATGTTTTACCTGAAAAGTACTTCATCAACTGCGGTTCAGCTTCTAGCGTCACGTTCGCCGGTCGGACCTTCATCGGCGATGAGAA